CTACTTGCTGTTATTTATTTCAATTAAGAGTTGCGCAAACAGGCCGTCATGGGAGTCATAATGTCGAAAATTATCGACTTGTTCGGCAAGAAGGAGTGCCGCATCCTGATGGTCGGGCTAGATGCAGCCGGCAAAACCACCATTTTGTACAAGCTCAAACTCGGTGAAATCGTGACCACGATCCCGACCATCGGCTTCAACGTCGAAACGCTCGAGTACAAAAACATCACCTTCACGGTGTGGGACATCGGCGGCCAGTACAAGATCCGCGCGTTGTGGAAACACTACTACACAGGCACGCAGGCGCTGATCTACGTGATCGACTGCAACGATCGCGACCGCATCGAGGACGCGAAGACCGAGCTGCACCGGCTGCTGCAGGACGAGGAGTTGCGCGACGTGTGCGTGCTGATCTACGCGAACAAGCAAGATTTGGATAACGCGATCCGCCCGAACGAGCTTGCGGAGATTTTGGAGCTTTCAAAAATCAAGCAGAAGAACTGGCAGGTGCAGTCGGCTTCCGCGCGCACGGGGGACGGGTTGGTCGAAGGGCTCGAATATATCGCGCGCGTGTTGCAGCGCTAGGCACTCAGCAGGAAGTCGCGAACGGATTCGAAGTACTCCGGCGCGACCTCGCGCACCCACTCGGGGTCCACGGGCATCAGCCCGCGCAAAAACTGCTTCTTCGTGAACACAAGTTCTTTGAACATCACTAGCTTCGGCAGCGCCTGCACCCGAAAGAAGCTTTGCGTCGCGTCCTTTCCACGGCGCCGGCAGAGCAGCGCAGACGCGGGGTGCAGCTGCGCGATGACTTCGCGGTTTTGAACGAGCGTGTAGCTCCTGTTGCCGTTGCTCTTCGCGAGGTTGCAGAAGTAGCCGCGCAGCAAACTTTTTAATACGTCCACAACGCTCTCTGAACTGCGCACTGGCAGCCCGAGCGTCGGCAACAACGCGGTGAGCTGCAAGTGGATGTTCCGGGCGCGCAGCATGCCGCGCTCGTCGATGCCGTGGTCTGCGCACCATTGCGGCGATTCGTGCGCAGCAATGTAGCCACGAAAGATGGCGAGTTGCAGCATGAAGTCGCCGAGGTTTTCGCGTAGCAGCGCAGGGTGCACCGGCTGCGAGAGCAGCACGCCCGCTTCGAGCTCGAGCAAGGCGACGATCATGCACACCTCGTTTGTGCAGTTGTATTCGCAGCTCGCGAGCACCGCCGCCGCGTTCTGAGCACTGCAGGGCAGCAACGCCGCGGTTGCTCCCGCAGCAGTCAGCGCGCCCGCCGCGTCGATCAGCTGCAGCGCGAACAAGTTGTTCAGCGCGTTCTCAAGCAGCAATGTCGGCGGGGCCTCGACGTAGTCAAAGTTCAACACGTCGTCGATGCCCAGGTGCTTTAGCCGCAATACTAACCCCGTCAGGTTCGAGCAAGTTATTTCCGCGGGGTTCGACGCTTCGAGTTCTTCGTCGAACGTTTTTTTCGGAAACAGCCGCAAACAGAAGCCGGCCTGCGTGCGACCCGCGCGCCCCGCGCGCTGTACGCAGGAGGCGCGCGAACAGCTAACGACTTTCAGCCACTCCATGCCACTTTTCGCGTCGTAGAAGCTCTGTTTCACGAGTCCCGAATCGATGACGTACAGCACGCCCTCAATTGTGATCGAGGTCTCGGCGACATTCGTAGCGACTACAATCTTGCGCCGGTTCTTCGGCGTCTTGCAGAACACTGTGCGCTGCTCGTCTTGCGAGAGCGCGCTGTAGAACGGCACCAGCAGTACTGAGGCCTGCGCAGCCGCGCCGCCCGTTTCCTCGAGCAGCTCTCTGACGCGCTCACAGCAGGCGAGGATCTCTTGTTGCCCCGGCAGAAAGATCAGCACGTCGCCCGGCAGCGGCCGCGATAAGTGCAGCTGCACGGCAGTGTTCGCGCTGCACTCCACGTAGTTAGAGACGCCGAACTTTGTGTGGAACACACGCACCGGGTGACACCGATTCGGGATTCGGAAGATTGGCGCGCCGCCGAAAAAGTCCGAAAACATCTGCGCATTCAGCGTGGCGCTCGCGATCACAAGTCTCAGCGAGCCGTTCCGGAACAGCGCCAAGTCTTTTAAAAACGCGAGCAGCACGTCCGTGTTTAGCGAGCGCTCGTGCGCCTCGTCCACCATGATTGCGCAGTACGCCATCAGCGTTGGGTCGTGAGTGAACTGCTGCAACAAGATTCCGTCCGTCGCGTACACGATCGCCGTCGAATCTGAGACTCGGGTGTCGAAACGGATGCTGTAGCCGACCTCCGCTCCGAGGTTCACGCCCATCTCTTCCGCCACGCGTTTCGCGACGGACATTGCCGCCACGCGGCGTGGTTGTGTGACCATCACCTTTCCGCTGGCTGTGTAGCCGACCTCGTGCAGGTACTGCGGCAACTGCGTCGTTTTCCCGCTGCCTGGCTCGCCAACGACGATGGTCACGATGTTGTCGCGGATCGTCTGCAGTAGCTGGTTTTTGAACAGAAAAATGGGCAGCTTCTGCCGCGCCAGCTCCATCTCGGATTGCGTCTTCACTAAGTCGCGTAGCTTCTTCGCGACATACTCGCGGTGTGACGCAAAATTTGAGTCGCCGGCGGTCTGCTGCGCAAAAGTGTCGACGAACGTGATCTTGCGGCCGTCCGTGTCAATGAACTCAAACGTCTTGCTGTCCGCCTCCAGCGGCTGCCGCAATTCGAACTTCGAGCTCGGGGAGGCCGCGTCCCGCGACTCCACTTTGTCAAGCTCAAGGTTGCTGCGCAAGTGCGCGAACTGCTCCTCGCTCGGCTCCGGCCGCGTGTCTAAAAACAGCTTCTGTGTCACAATATCGGTCGGTTTTTGTCGCTCAGAAATGATGTGCTCGATCTGCGACACTTTCTTCATGCGTTTCGCGATGTCGTCCTTGAACGCGTCAATCTCTCCAACCTTAATCCTTGCGTAAAGTTTAGCAGTCTCGGCGTTGCGCTTCTTCGCCAACTCCAGACGGTCGATTTCTCGTTTCTTCAAATAATCATACTCCGCGAGTTGTCGCAACTCCTGAATCGACATGCCCGCGGAGGGCGCTGCTCCCGGTGCAGCACTCTCACTTTCCGTTTTGAGCTGCGCGTTATTCGCGCCTAACCCGAGTTCGGGCTTGAGGAGAAGCAAGCTGTTCGCGAGCTGTTCGGCTGACCTTGCAGCAAGACCCAGTTTACGCTCAAATAACACCTTCAACTCGTCGGCGGTCTCCGTATCGCGCAACAGTTCGAGAACCAGTGCCTCCAAGTCTGGTCGCGTAAAGCCCAGCGAGCTCGCAAGCGCAACTGACAGCTTCGTCACCATCGGCGCAGCGGAGGTACAGAGCTCTCACGGTTGACCAAGTGTATGACGAGAGCCAGAGACTGCTCAGGCGCAGTGCTGAGTTTCTGCGAGCCGCATCCAGGACTCTATCGAGAGGAATTCGAGGCTAAAATCAATATTTTTTATAATGGACTGGGCGTGCAACCACTCCAAGAGGCTTGAAAACGACAAAGGCGTGCATTGCGCCGACCCGTTCGTTAAGCAAAGGCGAGCCATGTTGTGCGCACTTTCGATCAACACTGCACGATTGTTCGTTTCGTAGTAAAAGTCCCAAGCTAATTTCATCGTAAAGTAGCGCAGGCGCGGATGAAGTTCGTCATAAAGCCTTTGTTGCTTTTCGCCGACGTCGGCTGCGCCGCTTTCGAGCTGTGCTTTGATTGCGGCGTTCAAAAGTAGCGCGTCTTCCGCCAACACGAGTTCGTTCAACGATAGCGTGAGCTCGAAGCTGTGTTGCTTTAAAAAATGACACTGGTTTACGGCCAGCTGGTGCGAGATCTGACCGTCGTGCATCACATGAATCACGTCTGCGTACATTTGCGCTTCCGAAATGTTGCGCGTGATCAGAATGATGGCTACTTTATACTTTTCCTTGAGCAGCGTTGTGATTCGCCAGACGAGCTGTGCATTGCTTTCGTCCAGTCCTTCTGTCGGGTTGAGCAGTACTATCACTTCCCGCAAGTTAATTACTGAAAAAAGAAAGCGGAGCTTTTGGATGTCGCTCTCGGCGCAAAATTCTGGCAAAGCGTCTTGCACCTCGTTCAACTTCATCATGTTCAGTGCGCGAGGTATAATGTTTAAGCGCAGCGCGTTAGAGTCAACGGAACAGATCTTGCCGTACAACTCGAGTAACTTCTTAACGCTGAGGTTTTGGTGTAGCAGAAATTCAGCGGAGGCGCATTGACTCACCAACTTTCCACGCAGTGCGGGATGCAAAGTACAGTCGCGAGCCCCAATTAGAATGGAACCACAAGTGACGTTCGTGCGCCCCGTGATCACGTTTAGTAGAGCGCGTTGCCCGCACTGGTCCACGCCGGTAAACGCAGTTACGCAGCCGTTTCGCGCTTCTACATTAATCGAGTTCAGCACGAAGCGCACGGAGCCGCGACGTTCCCGTCGCGGCGCTCTGCGCCGCGACTCTAATACACAAAGATCCTGTAAATAGAGTGCAACAGCGCCGCGAGCGTGATGCATAGAAAGGCCGCGCGAAGTTAGCGGTTCAGCGATTCGTCTCTGGCAAGAATCGCCCATTATGCTTAATGAAAAGGCGCCCGTATTCGCATAGCGGTTTGCACCAAATGAAAGTGAGTCTGAGCGAGAGGCGCTGTAGGTGTTGTAGCCCTCCCGCATGTTGCCCCGAAGCTCAGAGTCGAAAGAGTACGAAGGCCCGAAGTACTCCGCCGGCAGCTTGACTGGACGCACGTGCGAAGAGGCGCTATTGAACGAGTCATTCATGTTTTGGAACGACTTCGTAGTGCTCACAAACGTTTGTTGCATTCGCAGCGAGTTCGTTGCACAGTAGGGCTTCCTTGTGCCAGCAGAACGCTCGTAATGCAATTCGCGCACCTCCGGTAGCCGGAATTGATCTGAAGTGTGTCTCTGTGAGGCGCGACGCGATGGTTGCTGCGACAAAAAGTGCACAATTGCGTTAGATTTCAATATTATCTTTTGCTTCAAGAACGGAATGTTGGACACGCAAATCAGCTCGAGCAGGCCCACGATCAGCGCATAAACGAAGCCGGATAACATTTGGTGTAGAAAAACAAATTTGACTGGCACGTTAGCTAGCTTGTCTCCGCCCGGAAAGTTCATGAAACGATTTTTGTTGTTCAACAGCACGCGAAAGATCAAGTACGAGTATTGAACCTGCGGAAACAGCAAAAAGATGATGTACGAAATCGGGTCGTTTTTTGGACCGATTCGTAGCACCTCATCGTCGTATAGCGTCAACAAGTGTTTCATGACTTTGAAGTTATTGAACTTCGCCGAGTCTATGTTTCTCGCAAGTTTGCTCGCGGGAAGCTTCAGCAAGTTCACCGGCGTAAACGTGACGGCTGAGCGCAGTTCTGCCTGAATTATCATGCACATCGTGATATGCGGAAGCAGCAGCGCGAGAAGCACATTAAGATACGGAGCGAACGAGCTTTTCGCCGAGAACTTTCCGATGACGTGCGAAAAGTTTGAAATCGAAAGACAAAATAACACGGACGACACAAGCATCTGCCAAAAGTGTGTTTCAAATATTGTGTCTTCTTCGGTAATTAAGTACCATAAGCAAATCACGATGTACACCACGAAGATCAACAGCACGTCCCAAGTGAATTCAGCAAGCCAGTATAGCACCGGGCTGATTCCGTAGTAGTAAAGTTGTTTTTTCAGTCCGTATGTCTCATCCGACAGTGTGTAAGTTGTGGTCAAACTGGCAGCGAGCATGATTAAGCATGGAAATATGGCGCTCTGTGCTAACGCGCGAAGCAATTGCGTCATGATTGCAGAGTCGGAAGCTTTGCCGCGCGATGAGTCATCCAGCGTTTCAAGCGCGTCGTGCCTAGTCTCCGCGAGACGCAGCCAAAAGTCTTGTCTGAACGCATTGATTTCATTGGGCATGTCGTAATTCATGAACAAGTTATACAGAATGGCAATTAGTATAGTCCCCAGCACGTAGATCGTCAGCACGTGGTTATCGTTGTAAGCGTTCAAAATCCTTCGAACTATTAGCGTCCTAAATTGGACTGCGATTTTTCTGCCGGCTGTGCGAGCGTCTTCGATTTTGTCCCTGACGTCCACCAAAAATTTCAGCGTGACAGCAAGTTTCGTATTCTTGTTTGCTAACCGCAGAGGCTCGTCGATGTATTCTTCAGTGTCGTCCGACACAACTTCCGAGTAATTATCATCGCTTCGCGCCTTCTCTTCGTTGAGCACACTCGTCCACAGCAATTCGTCGTCAATGCAACCCGTGTGAACGGTTCCAAGCGAGTCACGCAATCCGATGCTGAGGTTTTGCGCGAGGTTTTGCTTAAGAATGTTTACCTGCGATTTGGACTGCGACTGATACGGCGAGGGCACAACTACAGAGTGCTGCGGAGTGGAAGTTAGCGCTTCGGTTTCCCGCTGTCGTTTCGCTTGTGTCTTGTGCTTGAGCTGCATAAAGCGCTTCAATTGGTCGCGGTGGCTGCGCGACCGAACTGAATCGTGACGCCCAATTCGCTTGGTGTTGTAAATGAGCGAATTTGCGTGGTGTTTTAGTGCGTTTCTAATGAGGCAATTTGCAGCAGTTGACTCGATCCGCACATTCGAAATGCCGTAGAGCTCTCGTGTGCCCACGAAAAAATCGAGCGCCTTTCCCGTTGCGTGCAACTGTTGGGGCCCCACATAATACACTGCTGAGGTCGTGTCGACTAACGCCGATTCTGCAGCGATGCCAGCTTTGTGCATGAAAAGACCGTGCAGCGGAGCTATGGGAAGCTTCGTGCAGATTACAACGCTGTACGCTGATTTGAAGCAGCTGCGCACAAACGCAGAGTTACTGTAAACAAGCGTGCTTCCGTTGGAAAGCACTAAAACTGCATCGGAGTAGTTCATCACAGTGTTGACGTCTGTGCTTGAGAAAATCACAGTTGTTTCAGCGCGCACGTGCTTCACAAGCGTCCAGAAACGCGATTGCTGCTCTGAGTACAGTCGTGTCAACGGGTTGTCGAGCACGATCAAGCTAGGTAAGCCAACGAAACTGAGCGCTATTGACAGTAGCGCATTCTCGCTATCAGTGAGGCGCGCTATCACGGAGTCCAGTTTCGGTGACAAACCGAGAATGCTGAAGTAGTAGAGAGTAGCTTTGTGCAGTTCCTCAAAACGTCTCTTGTCTTGGATTCGCAGCCGCAGAGTGAAATTGAGAGCTTGCGCTACGGTGTAATTCTCATTAAAGACACAGAGTGAATCCGAGTCTGAAAATCCGACGTGCTGGCAGGCTTTGGTCGGCGTGCGATGCATATCGTGGCCACATACAACGACGTTCCCGCTCGAGGAGTCGATAAGGCCAGCGAGAACTTTTAGCAACGAGCTTGCACCGCTCTTGTTGCTGAATAGCACGCCAACAACTTCGCCTTTCCGTGCCGAGAAGGATATGTTCTTCAAAACATGCAGCCCTTTTGGGTAGCCCATTTCCGACAATCCAAGCGCTTTCATGACCCACAACCGAA